TTGATTCAACTGATGATTTGGATTTCTGATAGAAACAACCGAAACAAAATATCAAAACTTTAGATATGCCACCCAACATTCCTGAGAAGTATTACATTTATTACAACTTGGCAATCTCCCACAGATAGAAGCCATTTAGACCAATTTAGGATAAGATGGTTTGTCCAGATGGATCCAGTCATTTTAGGTTTTTTTAAACTCAATCTGCGGAAAAAGTCCTACTGAGCTAAATTTTGGTATACACCTTCATTATGGCGTTTTAATGAAGATGTGAAAAATCGATATCGATATCGTGCCGGCTAAAAAAGTTATAAGGGTCAAAAGGTCACGAAAATCAGTTTTTCGCGAATATCTGGCGATTTATGACTCGGAGATCAATAAAACTCTTCATAAATATTATTCCCCATACGATTATCTACAAAAAATTACTTGCATTTTTCTGTAAAATCAACCGTTTTCGGACTCGAACGAGTAGAATGCACTCACAGAGGGTATTGTATACCGTATACATATAGGGCGTAAACTCTATTGCTTTTCATCAATGTATTCAAATTTTCTTTCTTTCTCAGTTTGTGATAATGCAACATACATAATTGATGGTGGATTTCTTATGCATCGTGTTGTATGGCAAAAATGATGATACATCCTATAATATCATTAACAAATATTTTATTTATCAAACAATTTTCATCAAAATACTGTTGGTCATTTTTGATGGTTACTCCGATACCAGTAAAAATATCAGAGCGATGGAACAACTAAGTCGAACCACAGCCTTTTCTACATCGTGTGAAGTTCACTTCAATGAATCGATGGAAGTTCCTATCAGTGAAGAAAAATATTTATCTAATCGATTCAACAAAAGAGAATTATTCGAAATGCCCACTAAAAATTTCGAAAAAGTTGGTATTTCCACAAGACAATCACGTGATGATGCTGACGTAGTTGGCGGAGACATATATTGGTATTTCTCATAGCACGCACACAAATACTTGATCAACCTACTTCCATTTTTGTAAGGAACCAGGGAAAAACAATGTTTAAACAAAAATATAATCGACTGAGAGCCTCAACATGTATCCACACTGCAAGAAAAAAATCTGTTTCTACATGCTATGATCGGGTGTGACACAACTTCAACACTTTTTGAGGAAGGAAAAATTAAAGTCATGAAGATCTTTGGAAGAAGACCCGATTTACACAATTCTGCAGAAATATTCCAACAAGAAACTTGCGCTCGAGATGCCCTTGTCAATGCTGGAAAACATTTTTTACTAGCAATGTACAGCTGTGAAATTTCAATTATCGCCACCCACTTCTTCAGCAGCTCAACAGCATATTTATCAAGTCTTTTATCAAATACAAACCTGACTAGGAAAAGAAATTGATCCAGAACTGTGGGGTTGGGAGTTGAAAAATAATATATTACAACCAATAGTAGATCATATGGTGCCACTAGCACCCTATGATCTACTAAACACAATGTTTTGTAATTGTACAAAAGGTAGTGGCGGCAAATGTGGATGTAAAAAAATTGGATTGAGATGTTTTAAAGATTGTGGACATTGTCGTAGTCAGTCATTCTTAAACGCAGAGTCCACTAGTGAAGAAAATGATGAAGATGTTGATTTGAATACAGCAATAAGTCCACTCGATGTTTTGTCAGCAACTTTTGATGAAGTTGAAATTGAGGATATCGACGACGAAAGAATATAAAAGAAAATTATATACAATTTTTTTTTTCTATTTTCCAATGTACAAATAAAAAAGTATAAATGAAAAAACCTTTCATTACACTTCATGGATTATGCCTACGGGGGAAACCATGTAAAAAAAACGCGCCTTGCATTCTACCTCAAAGGTGGTGCGGAAACGAGTGCATCATCATAATGTAGTCGCCTTCTCAGCGCTCTAGTCCGAAAACGGTTAACTAAAAATACAAAAGACATTTTTGGTAGAAATTATTTTGGAATAATTTATATAATGTCCTGTATTGACCTCCGTGTCATAGGTCGCGAGATATTCGCGAAAAACTGATTTTCGTGACCTTTTGACCCTTATAAATTTTTTAGCAGGCACGACATCAATGTCGATTTTTCACATCTTCATTAAAATGCCATAATGAAGGTGTTTACCAAAATTCAGCTCAGTAGGAATTTTTCCACAGATAAAACTTCAAATGACTGGACTGTTACTACAATTTGTCAGAGAAGAGGTTGTCAGTGTCTCTTCTCAGGATTCACTGGTGTGAACTCAAAAGAATATCACTTCCATTATTCGTTGTCATATAACGAATACTTTCATCACTGCTGTCATCACGCTAGTCTCAAATAAACATTTCAAACTTTGTCAATATTTTGCTTTTAAGCAAGTTATTCTTTCATAGAATCTATTCTATTGAAAAGTATAAAAATGACTAGATAATGACATTTTCAGAGTTTGAATGAAGTGATCCGGAAAGACCAGACAGATCTTAAACAATATTTTACAAAAAGTTGTCTGAGAAAGAAAAATGATATCATTGCAATTTTCAAAAACTAAAACTGCTCAACTCAAATCATCAATCGAATCCTTATCTGTTTTCTTAAAGTTGCTGAAATTTGAAATAAATGCATACACATAAAACTAGTAAATTTGAATAAAACGCCAATTTAGACGACAATCGAACACGTTTTGTATGAGCTTGCAGAAGCATTTTTGGAATACTTATATATTTATTGTCTAAACTCCTCTCAATCACACTAAAAACAAATAACACTTTCATCATGCAATATAAAATATTCTACAAAGTGAATAGTAACTTTAGTGATCATTAATACTTCTTTTCAATGTTTATCTGTTTGGTAAAGTAGTTTTACTAACAGATAAATTAAAACTCTTCATGAACACACTGTATATATAACAAGTTATGGTTCATAATGAACATTCAATCAGAAAATAACTGGACCTTTTTGTATTCAGGCCTTTCTGACTTTGCTTGGGAGAATCGTCACCATTATTATTTTTGAAATAAGTCTTTGATTCTTGACATATCTAAATATTCTGACGGAAATTAATTCTTACATTCACAAAACTTCACCTATAGAATGGTTAGACGTTGGTTCTCTATTTAGATATATTTCTTCGAAAGTAATAAAGGTGACATTTTTCTCTATTTTATTGAGAGTGTTTTCATCAGTGATTTCAAAATATCTACCCTACGGATGTTGAAAACCAAGACTAATATTATAATTTTTTTATAAATTGCAACGTAATATGCTGGCTAACTATAATGTATTCATTTTATCATGGTGTAGGTTTATGAACATAAATGTATTTGATGACAGCTGCAGAAAAATAACCACTAGGCTATAATTTAATAATTTTTGATCACTGAAACCGAATCCATTCAAAATCATTATGATTTTTGACATGAACTATTGAACATAATAATCGAAAAGCCGAATTTATTCGTTAAATTTAACGAATTAAACCCATAACCGATCAACCACATATCTCTAACCTTTTGATTCCACCAAGGTTAATCACTAAAAACCTTGACCATTCATATCCAGACAACTCAAATTCAAGTAACTCTGTGACCTTATATTGTATCTTCAGAAAATAAATACATATGGAACTGTAGATATTAGCAAAAGTTTCAGGCAGATATTGTTTTTGTTAACGTTGATGCAGCAAAGTCACCTGGAAGAATGGTTTGGAGTTCCATAATACAGATGAAATCAAAGGAAACTAGTTTGGGCATCTGTGAGGAGTTGGCATACTTATGAAACGATCCTCTTCTTTCCTACAATCAGTAACGTCGGAACTGAACGAAAATGAAGCTATAGGTATCAAACTCGGTCTGAGAAAAGGTAGTCATTTGCTCACACCCAAGTCACTTGACTTATACCAGTCCTAAATGTGTGACGAATCAAGTGGTGACAACTAGATGTCGCTAAACCTAAAGGTTTAGCGACATATGAGTTGATATAACAAAATTTATATTTTGTTCAAAGTAGCCACGTGTCACCAGGGTAACGCGTTTCTTTTTTGAGAGATATGATCCTCGGAGGGGTATCGTAGTTTCTCAGAGCCATTCCTCTTGTGTTTCATGAATCTCAACGCTAGCAACACTGGTTTTCAAATACTTTTTGTGAAGTTGGCTACCTGACATGTCATTTTTTACCTACAATGAGGTCTGCAAACTTTTGTTGCTGTAGTCGTAAGTATTTACACTACAGGTTTACTAAATATATCTGCTACAATACATTATCATAGCAAAGCTAGATTTCGAAGGCGAAGCTGAGATAGTTATGAAACTAGGAGTTATATAGAGTATTCAGAGGTAATGTCAGAAACGTAATGTATGTCTTTCAATGGATTTCAGATTCAGTGATACCTAAAATATGTAGAAAACATTGTCCAGGTTATTTTTTTGTCTGTAAGCTCTAATACCTTCTTCAGATGAAATTTTACTTCAAGTGATAGCTCGTTCTCTGAGAATATGTTATCTTTCAGCGATCATATAAGGTAAAAATGAAAAACGGATCATACAAACGAAAAATGAATACGCAAAGTTTAGTATTTAACGATTTGCGCAGGTTTTCCTGGCTATTCTTGGAAAAATAAAACTGAAAGAGATAATAACATTTTTCCCTGATGAATATATTGCAGAAATAATGATTATGAATGCGTTCATTATTATAAATAGGCCACCGTTATTTTTTTACAATGAGGTCAACAACCCACGTGAGAGTGACTAGAATAAGTATGACTAGATCGAAAAATACCATTGTACTATATCAGTTGATACGAATATAAAATTTCTCAAATATTTTTAAAATTTGTTTTTCAAAAACTAACAAATTCGTATTTACAACTTTGGCCTGTTGTTTGTATAAAGGTACTTGAACATTTTACCAAATCAACGACCAGCGTTTCCTTTTTGGTATATGATTTACAGTAATTTTCCGTAGTTTATCCAAAGACACTCCTTTTCGTGGTTTGAACAAATTTACCTGAAGTCCAACTTTGATTTTTTTGGTCAACGCGCCTTCTGGGAAGACAGCCTGGACTTGAGGTACTACAGTGCTGGACACCATTCCGCCTTCTGGACCGATAGCGTGTACTTCTTGTCGCACTCTTGAAACGACTGCGAAATATTGAGGAAAATCTTGTGTCAGGATTCTTGTTATTCGTCCAGAGGAAACATCTTCCAGTTGGTTCAAGTCTAAAACGAATGAGACATACATAAATAGGAGAGCTGGTTATGGTGGTACTGTGATATTAGTGATTTCATTTCTGAATTTGAAGGTGATAACTACACCAAATATGATTATTTGTTTTCTGAAAAAATATTGGAATGGTTAATTTGCTATTTCAGAAAAAATGAATTGTGTATTATGTGCCTCTATAGAGTGCCCTCTGCAGATGTCATGTTATTTTTAGATAATTTAGAGTTAATTTAGACAGATTAACTGATATACTCAAATTTAGTTATAACTGGATATCTCAATATAGATTATATGGAAATAAATTCACCGACCACACAAACACTTCATAATCTATTCAACTTTTTCAAACTGAACATGAATGTCAATTCATATACTCGCATTTCTTAATATTCCTCGTCTTGTATTGATTATATTTTGAGTAATATTCACTTGGAATACATTGCATTGCATTGCCTCAAGAATTTCAGATCATGAATCCTTCATTTAGACCTCGATGTTATGAAAAGAAATGAATATAAATATGGAAGACTATACAGCAGTGCGAATTATAATAGGTTCTCCCGGAACTGTTTTGAACTTGATTGTCTCCCACCGAAACCGATGAAGCGGAGAGAAGGAATAGGGGTTAGGTGAAAGCACCTGAATGACCTATAAATAGTCAGCTTTCGGAGAAATGAAGTCAGTCATCACCCGAAGACGATTGTGGATACTAACAATCGAAACGTCTTGAAGTAACATGTCTCATTAGTTATTACTGGATATCTCAATATAGATTATATGGAAATAAATTCACCGACAACACAAACACTTCGTAATCTATTCAACTACTTCAAACTGAACATGAATGTCAATTCATATACTCGCATTTCTCAATATTCCTCGTCTTGTATTGATTATATTTTGAGTAATATTCACTTGGAATACATTAAGTGCTGAGTTATTGCCTCAAGAATTTCAGATCATGAATCCTTCATTTAGACCTCGATGTTATGAATAGTAATGGATATTAATATGGAAGACTATATATACAGCAGTGTGAATTACAATAGGTTCTTCCGAAACTGTCTTGAACTTGACTGGCTCCCACTAAAACCGATGAAGCGGTGAGAGGGAAGAGGGGTTAGGTGAAAGCACCTGAATGACCTATAAATAGTCAGCTTTCGGAAAAATAAGGCCAGTCATCACCCGAAGACGATTGTGGATACTAACAATCGAAACGTTGTGAAGTTAAAATCTTTTGATTTCAATTTTCATTTCCTGTTGACTGTTCAGTTGTTCATTGTAATTTCGTTGTTTTTGCTTGATATAAATGTTATTTTTACAGTTGATCTTTTTAATTTCATTTATTCTTTCAGAGATTTCAAATCTTGTACTATCATGTTCGACCATGTACCATGAAACATTGGCAACCACAATCAGATCCCAATGTTTTGAAAAGAGTTCGCATATAATAGGAAGTTTTCAAGAGGCAACTTTCTTGCATGGTTTTTGCTGAATGGGAAAATATTTTCACATCCTTAATCTTTTCTCCGACTGAAAGAATAGATTCAATACTTCCCATTTCCTTATTAAGCAAGAACTCAATTGCAAGTTAATCCTATACATCGCATTTCTTCGTTAACTAGGTGTTTTCTTATCCAAAACAAGCAGTTTTCCCCATCACCAAAAATGCATCTAAATGAAGTTGGTGAAAATGACTCCAACTCGCTTGGTGAAACGCGCGTCGAAAAGAGTATTGCGTTCTACGTCAAGGGTTCCAGTTTCACCCTTAACTTTTCTGATATTCCAGTAAATCTCTGTATTACTGAATTTCCACAACACTTGCTATGCGTGTTTACTCGTTATAACGCTATTTCCATTCTTGAGAATATTAGCCCTTTTGAATCGGTTCAATAATATCGTTGAATATACTAGCAACACTCAAACACCAAAGGCTCAGGATGTGGAGTGTACTCCAAATCACTAAGCCTAAGGATTGAGTGAGGAATGGGAAAAATAGCAGAGTGGTTCAGACAGAACTCGCTGGTATCTCAATCAACCCAAAAGAAATAACCAGGAAAGAAATTTCTGGCAAAAACATAACAATTTGCACTGATAGCAGACAAACCCTATCAAGCTTGAACAGACAACGTGTTACCTTAGGGCTAGTACTAGAGTGCCACCAAGATTTAGCCAAAGACTCGGTATACAATAACATTATCCTGAGGTGGGTTGAAGGGAACGACAGGAGTGAAGGTAATCGCATTGCCGACTCTTTAGCCAAGAAAGCGGCTGGACTAAGAATTTTAGGGCCCACCTTGGGCGACCCTGGGAAGCTGGCGCCGAAGAAATATCTGGCGATGACCAGGAAAAATCTACGCTCAACAGAAGGATTTCTGACTGGCCACTGTCAACTAAAGAAACACCTCTATAATATAGGGCCAGTGGATATACCTCTATGCAGTATGTGTGAACAGGAAGATGAAACTGTCAGACATGTCCTATGCGAGTGTCCGGAGTTATCGTCAATGAGAGAGTGTGTGTTCGGCGAGTCTTGGCCTACACCTGCCAATATAAAGGAGATGTCTCCTAGTAACCTGTCCACCTTTATGAGAAGGACGGGATCGACGATGACCTTGGGACAGCTCCTCGGGGGGATATTCAATGGGTCACATGTGGTCTAAGTGCTGTGGGCGTATACTCACCGTCTCTACTTTACAGATACAGATATAGATAGTAGCGACAGTTTTTAGAAATATGTGTCAACGTGATCATTTCTTTTGAATGTGCATACAGCATACCACTTGGGTGATTTAGGTAAGTTTGTTTCGGTTTCAGAAGCAAAAAATACTTAGGTTAACCGATACATTAAAAATAATAGCTTGTTTGATTGATGATCAATTTATTTTCTGGTACTTCATATTGAATATAGAATAAAAAAAATGAGATTGTGTCCACTTGGAAATGGTCTAATAAACCAAAACCAGTCGTAACAAATAATAAACTTAGTAGAAATAAGACAAAACTTATTTTCTTCATTCTATAGGTATTCAATAGGAAATAATAGTAATGCTTTTCAGTAGCCAGAGATATAGAATACTCACCTTCTGCTTCGAAACTGTCATGTAATACTTCGTTGAGAATTTCTTCAGATGATTCAACCGTATGTTCTTTCCATGACTCGCCATTGTCCGATCGGAGAATGACAATTTCTCGTTCTTTTCCACGAAGAGCAGCAAAATGTGGCACTTCAATTATTACCGGTCTGCAAGGAAAAGGAGTATAGCAGGTATGGTAATGAAGTATTTGTATTATTATTTGTAAATAACATGAAATGAAGACAGTAAGCTAGATGATGGTTTGTTCAATTTTGGATATTATGGTCTTCAGTGGATTGAAAGTAATATCGCATTGACTTCAGTGGGTATTATAATTTTCACACATCAAATTTATAGGAGACACTTTTCCAAGGTTGGGTCTAGTGAAAGGTGTAAGGAAGTAATCTGGCTACGTGTATTAGTTTGAGGTACGTTGAAGTTAATTTGTTCTACTAACGGTTAACGCTGTAGTATTAGTTAATGATTTATAGTTGCGCAGAACAAAGCCAAGCGGTTTTCTAGCGGATGTCACGACAGTATTGATGTGGCCAAAAAATGTCGACCTGATATCGAACGTCACCCCTAGATATTCAACAGTTTCTTCGCGAAGGAGTATTTCATCCTCGAAAGTATAAAAATACTTAATAATATTGGCATTGCGTGTAAATGAGCAAACTTTGAACTCTTTAACATTCATTGCCAATTTATTGATTTGACATCAGTTATCTATCAGGTGTAGCACCTCTCTAACCTTATGATTGAAAAGATCTTCAAGTCGTCTGCTGAAATTGAGTTGCCACACGAAAGCTTGGAGGTGAGATCAATTATAAATATTGGGAAGGACGGGGTTCCAAGTTTGGAGCCTTGTGGTACACCTGATGGTGATAAGTATGGTGCAGACGGAAAACCATTATGAAAAACAACATTGGTTCTCTTATCCAAATGAGAGCGTAGAAGTTGAGTAAGTGAGAGATTCGAACCCATTTGAGGTATTTTCTCTAGTAAGATGGAGTAAACAATTCTGCCGAAGGCTTGGCAGAATCGGTGTATATAACGTCAAATTGCCTTTTCTGTCCTTAACTACTATAAAAAACTGCTTAATACTGCAGAGATTCCATACAGTAATTTTTTTGCTATAAAGCTATGCTGGTTTGCAGAGATCTTGCAGATATATATATATTTTCTCTGACTCCACCGGAGTTAGTAAAAGCAGCGAAAGTAGCGTCACAAAAATTATTTCCAGCTAAATCGTGGAAAATTTATGAAACCGAGTATTCAAGATTCATGGAATGGAAGATAAAGAAGACATGCAGTTCTTTCTCGGGGAAGGTGTTATTGGCTTATTTTTCGGAACTGGCACAACAACAAAAGCCATCAACAGTGTGGCGAATTATTCAATGATTAAAAGTATGTTCAAAAAGTATTTCAAATTAATTACATTTCTGAAACAAAATGGGAAAGGTTCCACGCCCAAGAAAGCTGCGATATTTACGAGTACACATATTAGTGACTTTTTAAATAATGCTCCCGGTGAAGTTTATTTATTGGCCAAGGTTTTTGTTGTATTTGGGATCGCAGGAGCTTGTCGAATTTGTGAAATCAGCCAGGCAACATTAGATGATATTGAAGATTCGGGAACGTTATTATTTGTGAAACTCAACCAAACAAAGAATGATATAAACAGGAGATTTGTAGTTACTGAATAATATATTAAATTTCACCGAATGTACAAAGCCCTTCGTTCAGCAGCAGCAAAGGATCGCCGCCTGTTTTATGCATATCGCAATGGAAAATGTATCAATCAGGTTGTGGGTAGCAATCAGTTTTATAAGGTACCTGAAGAGGTGGCTAATTTTCTTCATCTTGAATATGCCAATTCATATACAGTTCATTCATTTCGAAGATCGTCTGCTACACTTTTAGTTGAATTTGGGGGAGACTTGATGACACTAAAGAAACATGACAGAAATAGCTATTAAAGTGTTTAGAATGTTTGGCAGTGCTGAAATAACACCCACACCAGATTTGCGACCAGGTACATCAACGGCAGTTGTGTCCAAGGCAGAAAAAAATATAATTTCAAGTTACATTTCGTTACCTGTCATCAGAGATAAAATGTCAAAATTTTTTCCCATCACAGAATAATAGATTTTTAAAAATGAAAAACGTTCTGTTCGAGGGTGACTATATAATTATTCCATAAGTTATCTCATTATCCAGATCAGGATCGTCAAGATTGAGTAATTTCCCCACACAGTCTCTGTGTGAGAAAAGAAAGTGAGACAAGCATACTATCTGTGCATGTATATATACTTTATATCTATTATTGGGTTTGAAATAGCAAGCAAAACAAAAAAGTGGAAGATAAATAATAGTTTGAAGAACTGAAGGAATACGCCTCAATATCAACACAAATAAAAAATAAAAATAATTCGAAATTATCCTTTAGCTTGATGTAACTAATAACTTTT